TCACCAGTCTATCTATGTCACATTGGAGAATGTATATGTCATAATAGAGAACTATTGTTGCCACAACTTGTTTGAATTCAATACTGTAACATAGATAATTTAGTTAAACTGTTACATGAAATAATGTTAAGTGGGTCACGTGTTACATTGTGATAGCTCTATAAGTGCTTGACATTACTTATCATCGTACTTATATTTGGGTCCCGTCATAGTTCGAGTAGAACAAGTCGATTTCAATCCTATATAACCTGGAATGTTACAGGTTTAAAGTCCAAAGCTCAGCTGCTGAGTTCAAGCAATTGTCACTAAACACTGGGCATGTTTGTATATATATGCACATGACTGAGTCTCTATCTTAAATGTTATGGATTTGTAGACCTTGACCAACGGTATATTGCAAGTTCGCTTACAACATTGCTCATCAAGTTGTAAATTTCCAATGTCACATGTAATATTAAAACATTTAAATACGTTTGGCGATATTGCAAGTTAATTTGCGGCGATATTGATTTGTTCTAATTGTCTGTTTATGTATTTTTTTTTATATACATGTATCTAAAATTAGCAGAATTGAATATTTATCAATTCAATGTTGTTGATACAACGGTACGAGCACCTTTGCCTCAGAATTTATCGAAGTTTGCACTGGCTCCAAAAGGGCAATCGTATTCCACGGTTATGGAGATAAACTCCCATGATTACCTTCTCATGCACATGTTTAATGTTACTGTTTAGTCTTTAAAGCTTACGATGTTTAGCTTTCAGTTTATTCTTTTTATTGCATCCACAACACTTTCGAAGGAGCACCCAACAGTATTTTTTGATTCCTGTGCTGAGTGCTGAGATTATACGTAAAAGTTTTGTTGACGTTATGTTAGTTTATAATAGCCCACTACCAATTAATATACCGTGTATTTGTACATTCCAAATGATTGTATGTTTGTAGAGAACGAGTCAAATTTTAGACATTTTAATTTTAGAGGGTCATATTTTAGGAACATCATGTGGGGGAGGTTTCTGACTTTCTGGCTCAAATACAGGTTGATTTCTATCGGCCCACCCCTCCTAGAAAAATTCATCAATTAGACTACAAGCAATGTACCAAATTGTGTGTATGTTTGAAACTGACTGTGAAGTATATAAATAGTGTTTGGTTGTTGTAACTGAAGCTTTACTAATAATGAATGAGTTATGCTAGGGTTTATTTTATTTTGAACGATTCTTTAGATCACTTAGCACTGGAAGGTGTACTCCACAGACCAGATGGCTTTCAGTTAATATGCATTGTAAATCTAAAGATAAAATAATCAATGAAGCTGGAAAAGCTATGTTACACTGGATCTGCATATTAATAACGATCGCGTGGCCAATTACTATGAAGGTAAAATCACGCGTGGTTCTTTGAATATTTAAAATGCATTATAAGTAGACTTTTATTTTTTTTAAAATGGGTTGGGCGAAAATTAGGATGATTCTGAAACTATGCAGCGCCACCAGCGACACATACTAACGTGTTTTTTTTAATGCAACTAGAATATGGCGCATTCAACACACGTCAGTTTGATTAATGGTGGGTTGTTTCTAACCTGTAGTTTTATACGGACTGGTAACAATATCGGGTTCTTCTTGAGCAGTATCCGGTTTGTATTCACCAGCACATTCCCGTCTCATCTCAGAAATCTCCGTTCCCATGGCAACAATCATATTCTGCATCACCTCCATCTGGTTTGTCAATTGTGCAACATCGGCTACAGACACGAACCGCTGTGAACTTCCTTCAACCGTCGAAGTGTCTTCCATGGTGATATAGGCGTCTTTTATGCCGGGGCACTGGTCATCTCCCGTGTCTCCAAAAATCGTGATTTTTGTAGCCACTGTACAAGGTGAACTTTCACTGCCACCGGAAACCACAGCATATGACATTGTCATGGCGAAACCCAAAAATAAACTGTGCCAGGTATAGCGAGCCATTTTGAATTAGGAACGCCCTTTGTTTCTAGCTAGCCGTGACGCGATGAAACCACGAAAACTGGGATACATGCCAAGTTAGTCGATACCTTATCGGAAAAAGGTCGATGTGTCATAATATATTGTTCTATAGCGCTTCGCCAAGATTTGTGATCCTTGTTTCAAAAATAACACATTCATTCTGATAAATTATTACGCTATATATCAAAAGTACGCTAATTATTGCTGCAAATATTGACGGCCGTTTAATGGCCACATTTCAATCCAAGACTCATTATAATATTCCGTCTGTGGGTGTTCAAGCATAATCCATCTTTTTGCCGCCAAGTCACGCTTTTTCATAATATAAACTATATCAAAATAAAATCATAACCATACAATACTTCAATGGGATTGATATGGAACACTATACCGGTGAAATCAGAAAATGTATTTTTTAAACAGAATCGTCATTATATAAACCAACAATCTACATACATGTATCGAGTTTAAATTTTTTCGAAGTCCTCGGAAACCAAAAAAGATACAACCTTGTTGTTTTGGAAGTTTAACCTGAAACAGAATTCCTTAAATTATATCATGGCGTTTTAATTCTGGTTATAGCAGCGTGTGCCAAGTATACAGACTCACCCACTGATTCAACGTGTTTACAGCTATACTACTATATATAGTACAGCATTGTATAATATTATACAACTATAATACAGCTGAATCATAACTTTCCTTTTGGAAGTTTTGAAATACTAGTTCAACATTGATAGCCTCAATTAATATGATTGTCCGAAATAAGTATACCGTCAGTTCTCATACTAAGGTAATTATAATATTCGTGACAACCTCAATTTGAGGGGACCGTCAAGACAATAAGTACGGGGAGTAAAATTTCTATCGTGCAGGGTCCATAGCGTTGGGAACATCTTTTGAAAGTTTTTAGATTTTTTGAGGTCTGGAAAGTATTTGAGTTGTCTTTAAATTACAGAAAAAATAAAAAAGTCTTTAAATGTCCTCATAGTTATTAATTTATTAATTTTCTCCAGGGAACTACCATATCCTCAGAACTTTGATGAGCTTTGGTGACGATGTTGGTCTGAATCAAGGGTCAAAACTGATGTCTTGGAAAAATTCATAAAAGTTTGGGAAAATGTCTGGAAAAGTCTTGGAAATCATTCAGCTCTTGGAGCTATGGACTCTGTTCGGGTGTTTATGTTTTGAGGGTTTAATTTGAAATTGTCACATATATCAAATTACAATGTACTAGTACATAATACAACTTGGAGATGTATGAAATAGTAGTTTATATTCGAATCGTGAAACCGAAAACATATACATAAAAGTATATACATAAAATAATGACCCTATCTTCCAACCCATTATACTCAGAGCAGAACTAACGGTTTAATTGTAGTTACTGTGTGTTATATAACACAAAAACAGTCAATATAATGGAATTGCAATGTGTTGGTATTCCGTCACACTCGTTCGCTTTCAAAACCATATCATGGAATCATCATTGAGAAAACCAATACACCTTTCCTCTAAATTGCGCCCTCTAGAGGCGATGCGCGACCAGAAGGCCGTTCTTACCACTAATTAAAACTCCATAGACGACAATGTTAACATATGACGAGATTGCTATATGAAAATGACGAACAAAGTTGAAAACATGGCTCAAAAATGGGAAATCTACATGCCAGTGATCAACCACATGAAAAAAACATGTTGGCCAGCTCAAACTCTTGCAAATCTCAGGTAAAAAAGACACACCTACTGTATTGGATTGCACCAAGAGAAATCACTGGAAAAACACCAAGACTAGAACATCCAAATACACACAGAATAAACCCACAGGTACACAGCCACTAAGTAGTAAACAAAAGACCACAAGTTGGTCTCTCCTTTGACCCAGGTGATCACGCCCTCAAACAGGGAGCACCTGAGAAAAAAAATATTTAAAAAATTTCATTGGTTCTTGCAAGGGGCTACGCACGGTCATTGGTTGATTAGTGGTATGAGACCTTTAAAGTGTTGATGTCGATTTGATCACAGGCACTTGCAACGCGAGTTTAGGGTTGGGTTAGGATTATAACTCCTATTGCAAGTGCCCCATGGTTTTGATCTGTAGTGGTCCATCAATCCCCACCCTGCAAATAACCAATCTTGCAACGTAAACTTTTGGCCATATAAAAATAATACAGAAGAATATTTGCCAGTCTGGGTATCATGTAAATTCTTCATTTGTTGGTTGGCTCTCAAAACATTTACTATACAGTTGGATATAAATTCATGTGTAGATCTCCACTTTATTGTAAAAAGAATTAGTTAGCATATAAACATGGCAATTAACCTCAGCTCAGCAAAGATGGACACATACTCAACCATATACTATCTATGATGCAAAACATTATTTTCGTGCATTTGAGGATGTAATAATTAAGATAAAATTCCTAATTGTGTTATGGAAAATTGAACTTAAATATATTTTTTTACTGATGGAAGTTTTTTTATCTTTACTATCCTAATAGATTTTCTAAAGAGTACACACTCGCAAGTTGTTACCCAGCATCATGTGGTATAGCCCTTAACAAATTTACCACCTTATGTGGAAATGGCCAAATCATTTAGGTATCAGAATTTAGCAAATTTGTGGTCCAAAATGGTTACAACATTTGATCAAATAGTAATAAAAAGCTAAGTGCATTTATTCGCAAGCACATAGTGTTTGAACGAGTGAAACTGGTTGAGTAAAAATCTGTCAAAAGTGCGTGCGAGAATTTGGCTTTGAAAGGAGCCAAAATTAATTGTTTCCAATTTGTAACTTACAAAACCAAGACCTATAATGCTGAAATGACTATCTTTATCCCATTTTATGATCACAGTTTCATATTCATTCAGAAATCCAAATTATGCCTGGAGATTTCAAAATCAGATTAGGAACCATTCATAAAACAGTGATGCAAAAATATGCATCATTCATTCAACCATGGAGGTATAAACACCTCCATGATTCAACACAAGTAGCAAACCAACCAAACATTTATTTCAATACATTTTATTCAACCCTAAAATAATAATTTTAGCTTTACATATTCCCCTCAAATATTCTTCTCCTTTGGTTTGGCATTATTATCAGTATGTACACACAGTAAATTCAGCACAGGAGGGCCATTTCCAATAAAAATAATTCTTTCAGCAATTTTAAACAATGTACGGTAAAACAGCAGAGTATGGTAACCATTGATGTGCTTGATCATAAATACAATTCTTGAGAAAAATCAATCTTGCCAATGATTACACAACCCTGACTTTAGACCCTCAGGATAAGAGTTTACTAAAATCTTGTAATAAACCATGTAATATAATTCTTATTTTTTTTTGTTTTTTTTTTTGAAACTGTGAAGGCAGCTACATTTATAGATCCAATAGATAGTTCTCAACCCAAAATTTTTGTATTCCATAATCCGAATGAGAAATAACACGTGGTAAACCAGATAGGGAAGGAGGGTATTTAAAATTTAAAATATACTCATATTCCAGTACAACTGCTAGTTCACATTACAAGTGACATATATGTAAATTTTGTAATTTTCAGGGAAAAAAAACCACCCAGCAAATCTGGAGGGTTGAAGATTAATTATATTCAGTAAATCTGCACCATCAATCCATCAAAGTTTATGAGATCCCAAGAACAGAGATCAGTTCAGATAAAAACCATTGGAGTAGACGATGATAGGCACATGCAGTCCCAATAGTCTATTATGAAAAAAGGCTGCTAACTCCATGTCCACATATTGTCTAAGCAGTTTATTGTCCATGATTCCCTTTTAAAACTAATGTCCACCAAGCCTAATAATGCAGATCCAGTCTTTTATTACACATATTTACGGTAGGTCATCAGGTTTTTTTGGGAGGTTCAGCAGTGTTGAGCAGTATACAACAGTTACAGTAGTCATAGTTCCAGTTCCTTTGCTTTATTTCCTCATGCCATAAATACGATGAAAACAATGAAGAACACAAGGAGAACAACAAATATTTTTATCATCAGCCATCGGTTTGATGTGACAGACTGGAAATATTTTAACAATTCTCCATGAGCAGCTTCAATATTGCCATGTGTATCATCTATCTGTTGGTCAATTCTGCAAAGATAAAAACAGATACATGATATCTATCTCTCTTTCCACATTTTTTCTCCTCTCATTCTTTTATCATGCTACTTTTGAAAGAGACTACTGTACATCTTTCTCTACAAGCACAGACTACCCACCTTGAATGGAATTCTAACCCATTTGACTAGTTGTACAAAATGCACAACTCTGGTTGAGCTAAAACGCATATTGTGTGGTAATGGTTTATGTGAAATAACTAACCTTTGAACTTGTTCCTCTTGTTCTTTAACCATATGTGCTAACTGTTGGAATATACTTCCTAATTCTACTATAGTGGCTTCTATATTTTCCATAGTACTAGCTCTACTCTGTATGTACGAGTCCTGTTCGTCTATTAACTGCAACTGTTGTTGATAGCGCTGTTTATCCATATCCTCCATATTGATGGATACATCACCACCAAGACCACCGTAACTTGTCTTCTCGTCTTGGAGTAAAACTGAACCCGCTGAAATGGAGAATATTCATAATATTGAACAATTGCGACAGCTGCTTCCATGTCTTGAGAACCCCAGTGACAAGTTCACTGAATATCTGTGATTTCCTTTGCTCATGAAAGTTTATTCCTCATTTTAGAGCATACCATTTGAGTCAGAGCATAGTATACAAGGAAGAATTTGATAAATCGAACAACAAGCAAGTAGCTTTTTGATTGTTCTGACTGTTTGGTGTTAGGGTTCGGTAGCCAATCAGGAGACATATGGGACTGGAAACCTATTCATTAAAACAAAATGGCCACCGGACAGCCATTTTGATTCTGATCTGAAAAATAAAATGACGTGCATCAGGAACCTGTAATGTCTAATGTATGTACCAAGTTTGAACGAAATCCATCCATAAATGCCAGAAATGCTTGATATTTGACGATTTTTTAGCACAAAAGTGACAACCATTCGGTCATTTTGAATAGGATCGTCAAACCAATATATATGTCTATCTATGACATGTTGTATAATGAATATTTAAAATTTGAACATAATCAGTCAAAACAAGTTGGAAATATGGGTCTAGAAGCCCATTCATTAAAACAAAATGGCCGCCAGTCGGCCATTTTGAATGTTATCTGAAAAACAAAATTATTTGCATCAAGGTCCCATAATGTCTAATGTATATATCAAGTTTGAACAAAATCAATCTCTGTAAACAGCCGAGAAATGCTTGATTTTTATGATTTTTTAGCACAAAAATGGCCGCCATTCGGCCATCTTGAATTAGATCTTAAAACAAAATGATGTTCATCAAGGTCCTATAATGTTCAACGTATATACAAGGTTTGAACAAAATCCATCTGTAAACAGCCGGGAAATGCTTGATTTTGATGATTTTTAGTACAAAAATGGCCGCCATTCGGCCATCTTGAATCAGATCGTGAAACAAATTGACGTGCATATGTATGATTGTGATTGGTCCAGGCATTTCTTAAATACAGGTCCGGACGCACGCACAGACGCACGCACGGACACACGGAGGTCAAAACATAAGTCCCTGTTTTCGGACTTCGTCCGAACGGGGACTAATTAAAGAGATCCACTACTTACTATTGCCCTTTGTAGCAGACGGCGGCATACTTGCAGCTACGGGTCCTTGTGAAAACTGATCCCTTCTAGTTTTTTGCTCTTTTAGATTCTACAAGAGATTAACACACTGAATGATAAATAACAGCGATACTAAAACAAAATTATGCTTTAGAGGAGAAGAACAAGCATATATTTTGCATCTAATGGAATAATTTTACAAAAATGTACAGGGTGTCTGCATCCTACCTTATTAATAAACAGATTAAATATACCGGGAATAAGATTCCTGAAAGTAGAGTGTGTGCATGGCATCAATCCCATAGTGCAATACCACAATGATATTCAGTACTCATTGAAGATGTTAGTAATATACCATCTATATGGTATTAGTTGAAACATCTATTGGTAAATTATGATCATTCAATTCATGTGAAAACTACAATCAAACCTGAACACTGTATATATGAAGTACTTACCCGAGTGCGGAGTTCAAGAACCTCTTTGAAGTTGTTTGACATGGATGCAAGTTTTGACTGAAGCGACACCACAACTTGACTGGAATGCGACTGCATGTGTCGTCCATTCTTGTGAGCTCGCAATTTAACAAGCTGCAACCAACAAAGAACAACAATTAATCACAATTATTGATATTTTGAAAGACAGTACAAAAACTTGACAATATAAAGAAAACAAGGCAAGGGGTATTTACCTGTTGCAGCTGAGCAATCTGTTTGTTTAAATTGTTGATATCTTGTTTGATAATATAAGTCAGTTCTTGTATTTCAATAGGCTTATCATCGAATAATGACTTTCGTTTAGCCACTGCAATGATAGACAATAGATAATTCTACCAGCAACCAACATACTTATCAAATTATTGCGCTCAATGTCGGTACATTCTGTTTCCATGTCATTTAAACAAAATTATAATCCATAATATCAACTCAATGTGGTTCAATATTAAGGATTCACTCTTTTGGCACAAGAATTTCCTGAGATTTTGCCATGTTTAGCACTTGTTATTTTAAAATCAGTACTTACATATTGTGAGCTTCTCCAGTTTGGCAAATGTGTTGCTGATATCATGTCCAATTTTTCTGATGGAGAAGTAAATCAGATTATGAAAAGTTGGTTGAAAAATTTCATTGTATTATAAATAAGTAAACATAATATAGCTCCCATCAGGCCATGCCACAACTACCGGTGCAAGATGCACATACAAACACCAACAACAAAATGGAACATTAGAAAACAAGCCATGCATGGCACAGTCCCTGTTAGTTATCAAATTTAAGATATATAGTTTTATTTGTAGTAATATAGCTGGAATATAACCATGTCAGGAATATCATTTTTTAACATTAAAAATGATTGACATTTGTATCTGATCGTCAAAAAAGTACTTGTCCATATTGAGAGATATTGCTCTGGAACAGCATTCAAAATCAGCCATTTTGAATACATGTATATATATATATACCGTAAAATTCCTTTTTGAGGCCGCGGCTTCAATTAAAATTCATTTTTTCAATGGACGAATTCAGATGCGTGAAGTCTTGGTGCAGCTTTAATTAGAGCATTCACTTTGGTAACAGTGGGAATTTTTTTCAGAAAACAAAGGCCAGAAGGGATAATGATATGCTAATGAGATGCACGACACTCGATTGCAACTTTGTTGCGATTCTAAGGCACTTTCGGATTTTTACACACAGACAAACTTGTACACAAACGAAATTTCACATTGTATAACATACTGCACAATAAATAATATCTACAAATAGATTTGTATGCATTTGCAGATTACGGTACTGTATACTACAATCTCTTGAATAGACTAATTCGTTAGCACCGGTCACTCTTTTAGTAACAGTGCAGACAGCCGTCTGACACAGTCGATTGCGGCATGTTCAACTTCCGGCAGAGTGACTGTACATTCCATGTTTAATCTAGACATTGGGAAAATTAAAATAAAAAAAGTCAATCAAAAAAAAAATGATAATGAAAAAAATACTCAGTATATTATTTAATGTAATATATATTTATTTTTTTATTTTTGATAACGAAAAGTATATTCTAAAAGAAGTCAAAACAAAAACGAATGCATTCTTAGTAGCAAACGATCACGATAACGATCATGCTGCGTTTCACACAAGTGAATAACTTACTTGTTTTCGAAGTGTTACAATTGCTGATTATTAATCAGTAGTGATTACAATAATGTACAAAAAATAAATTCGTTGAATTGTTGTGAAAATTCAACTTAGTTTCACCGTAAGCGAATGATTTTGGTCACATATAAATGCTCCGATAATAAATGATCCGATACGATATCCGCCATGTTAGTTCAAACATCTTTAGTGACTTGAAACTGTTATGTTGACCTGATAGGTCAAGTTGCTAATAAACCAATCGAAACGCTGGATGGTGCCAACGTGATTAAATTACCATAGCTCATTTAAATATGTTAATGTAGTTCAGCGACCTCATGGTAAACGAAACACGGAAGAGATTTACCGTTGTTGTAGTTCGATCGTTTGGCTTTGATTTTGATGAGAAAACTGCATGATTTTTTTTAAATCAAGAAATTAGTTGTTTTCGAAAGATAAGCTGAGCATTGAAGAAGAATTTAACACTTTTGAAGATAATAACAGCTCATTGTCGAAACGCCGTTTACACAGTCACGTTACCCACAATAAACCTGTACTCTGGAATAAGCGTCAATGACTACGGAAAACCTTAATTAGACTCTAATTTAAGCGTCAGGAATCATTGAAATGTTCGAAAAATTATGCCTTAATTTAAAATTAAATGGTATATTTTTTTCTGAAATATGTGGTGGCTGTTTGGTTTGTGAAAGTTTGGGGTGCGGCTTATATTGCAGACTTTTCCCTGGGATCAAAACTTCAACATGAAACAATGTCTCAAGTTAGGGGTGCGACTTCTATTAAAGCTGCGGCCTCAAAAAGGAATTTTACGGTATATAACATGATGTATAACGAATATATAAAATTTGAATATATAATCAGTCAAAGCATTTAAGAGTTATGGCTCTAGAAGCCCATTCATTAAAACAAAATGGCTGCCAGACATCCATTTTGAATCCGATCTGAAAAATAAATGATGTGCATCAGGAACCTGTAATGTCTAATATATGTACCAAGTTTGAACAAAATCCAACCATAAATGCCATATATATAATGATTTTTTAGCTCAAAAATGACCACCATTTGGCCATTTTGAATAGGATCGTCAAACCAATATATCTGTCTATCTATGACATGAAGTATAATGAATATTTGAAATTTGAACATAATCAGTGAAAGCAAGTTAGAGATATGGCACAAGAACCACATTCATTAAAACATAATGGCCACCAGTCTGCCATTTTGAATCTTATCTGAAAAACAAAATTATTTGCATCAAGGTCCCATAATGTCTAATATATATACCAAGTTTAAACAAAATCCATCTGTAAATAGCCGAGAAATGCTCGATTTTTAGGATTTGTTAGCACAAAAATGGCCGCTATTCAGCCATCTTGAATCAGATCGTAAAACAAAATGATGTGCATCAAGGTCCCATGTCTAATGTATATACCAAGTTTGAACAAAATCCATCTGTAAACAGCTGAGAAATGCTTGATTTTTAGGATTTTTTAGCACAAAAATGGCCGCCATTTGGCCATCTTGGATCAGATCGTAAAACAAAATGATGTGCATCAAGGTCCTATAATGTCCAACGTATATACAAGGTTTGAACAAAATCCATTAGTAAACAGCTGAAAAATATTTGATTTTGATGATTTTTAGCACAAAAAATGGCCGCCATTCGGCCATCTTGAAACAGATCGTGAAACAAATTGATGTGCATATGTATAATATCATATATGATGTTTGATTTTGTGAAGTTTGATTTTGATTGGTCCAGGCATTTCTAAGATACAGGTCCGGACGCACGCACAGACACACGGAGGTCAAAACATAAGTCCCCGTTTTCGAACTGCGTCCGAACGAGTACTAAAAAATTATGGTATATGTATAGTATATGTTACCCCCCATCCCCAAGTAAGTAAAATTTGCATTTCCAGTTTTTGTGAATCCACAAAAAACAACAGAGGCACATCAGTTTAGACTTACTTTGCTATTTGTGTAAATTCGCTGCGTTGTAATAGAAGCTTGTTATTCTGAGAAAATTTTGCAACACCATTACCCTAGAGAGAAACAAATAATAAGAAGAGAATAAAGTATCAAATTATCAATTCTGGCAGGTCTAAGCTGATACAGAATTAAAAAAAAAGTAATTTTTCGTGTCTATAATCCTGTTCATGATGTGCAATCAAATCCACAAGAGTGATTCAGATTTCTGTATAGTTTGTACTGGCCGTCGTTGCGATACAAAAACAAGGAAAATTTTAATTTTAACAATTGAATAATTACTGTTGATGTTAACAGGGGTCGAAATACTCTGGTGCACACTGCACTATGCACATAGATTATTAGCTAGTGCAAGTAAACTCAAAATATAATGTGCACGCTGTGCATGTAGAAATTAACACAACATTTTCACATTATATTCACTAAGCCTAAATTAAGATCAACCAACATTGTGAGACAACTCAAAAAAAGCAAATTCTTTTGTGATCGCATTAATCGAGAACCCGTAAATTTTATTTAAACTTTAAAAGTGGTGCATTTCACAAGAAGTTAGTGCAGGTAAATTTCAAATTCAACATGTACACTGTGCGTGCTGGGAAAAATTCTATTTCAATCCCTGCTGTTATTTTGAATTGCATTGGGTTGCAATGTACAACATTTTAAATAGTTGTAAAACCAAATAAAGTTGGTGTAACAATGTTTTGTCAAAAGTTATACAAGAAACTGTAATTATATTGTCTCTGCAGTAACAAATCAACAATAAAATTACAAGGGTTCTCAGTGGTAATGTAAAACAAGGAAAGTGGTTCATACTTCATGCTTTGCAAATCAGGCTATGTAAATATAAAACTGTATGGCAGTAGTGAATATGCTCATGCATTTTTTGTTTTGCAAGGGGTAGGGAAAAACAGATGATGTAAATACCTGTCTTGATTGAAACGACTTGACAGCCGACAGAAATTCGTGTGTTCGATCCCTGCACGTCATATCTGAATTGTCTACATACGTCTCAGACACATATGGTTTGTTGCTGTAGTTCAAGTTATACAAATTGTCCTCGTCCCTGGCTTCATCTGAGATAGTGCGTCTTCGTCGAGTGGTCATTAGGCCAAGAACATTTCCCTCAGACCTCCCAAATATTTCTACTTTTCTTCAAGTTCTAAAGCAAGCAGTGATAATTGCACTTACAAGGCACTATCTGCATGGCAAAAGAAAAGAGTTGTACATTAGTCTTCAACTGTCATTACCAAATCTCAGTGAAAATGAAATTGTCATCATAGTCTAGTGGATATTAGGCCAATACTTTATTTCTGAATTTTATCCAAAGTTAATTAAGTGATTATAGACTGATATATATCCACATTTCTTGATTTCTTTGTTGCATTCAATAACTGAACTCTTGACAGTGAAAGGTTTACAGTGGCTAGTGGCCTAAGCTTTGTGTGGGCTGCAATGCTCACAAGGCCGGGTGAATACTCTTTGTCAAAATGGGTGGAAACACCTAGACATTTGAACACAGTATCAGCCTGTGATCACCAGTTGTATGTGATGTCACTGAGCTCAAAACATTTGATTTGGCAAAATGAGATTGTGTAGTTAAGTGTATTGACTATGATTCGCAGTGTAGTATCTTGTCTGCCAAATTGCCCATCATTTTGAATCATTTCCATTGTAACATCAGAGTGCACTGACCTAATTCATTACAAATTCATATTATTCACAAGACTGACCAATCAAATTCATACAAACCATTGCATCTTAACATACTTGTAATTTTAAAGGTGCTGTGATACAAGAATCACAGGTTTTATTGAATGTTTTTGATCAACTGGCTTCATCTTGAGATAGTGCATATTTCCAGAGCAATTTTAATTTTCAGATGGATGGATAGTTGAATGGCAGAAATGACAGAGCTAATTTTTGTAAAAATGTGTCTAAATATTTTGATTTATGGCTTTGTACATAGTTAAAATGAATGTCAAACTGGCCATTTGGTCAGAATCATGAACTTTTTAATCATTGATTTAAAAGTATCAGCCAGCCCATTGCTAGCTTTAAACCATAGACTCTTTTTAAAGTTTATGATTAAACTACATTTTCTGAGTACACATTTAACTAATTATAATGTATAAATGTAGTTCCATGATGGTTAGAAACAAATGCATCTTTCCAGCCCGTTATATCAAGTAATTGGACTTCCGTGTTTTTGTGATGTACCGATTAGGAAGATATGATGATTAAAAATACCTTACTTTAGACATATGTTGTCGAGTCTCAACGAATCATCGATTACATAACAAATCTGTTAATATTACAATGAAGGCATTCCTGGCTTTATCGTCATAATAAATAATTAAAAATATTGTAATATACTTCAGAAAATCAAAAATATAACTGAGGCGTACAAAAAAAAAGAACTTCATTTTCATCTGTCGTCGTGTCGTCTGTTCGGTGAGCCGCTTGGCGGTTTACCCCGTAATCGCCGGCGAATTTTATAAGTTAATACATACCTGGTTTATTCTATCGGGTTCTTCTTTCTCTAATCCCGCAATTATGAAATACCAGAACCACTAAAAGCACCAAAAACAGATATTTTCTATTCACAAAAAAGTAAAACAACAGTGTCAACGCATCAACTGTCTGACGTCACCAGGTTTCCCAGCGCATGCGTCATTTCCACGTTGCAAGAATTATGGGTAAGCTCCTTTAACTTTAGTGTATGGACGATCTAATGCGATTGAAAAAAATACAGTGTTACAAACGTCCCAATTTTTATTAAAGTTTCACAAGATATATTAGAGATATTATTTAAATCATTGCAAATATGTATATAATACATGTGTGTATAGAATAACATTTACTGATTTCGCAGCCATACGAGTATTTTTAATTTATAAGTTAGGGAGCCCTATACGAACATCTCGCCGGTATATCTCGCACATCAAACCACGTTATCGTTCTTCTTTACTCAGTCCGGCGGTGAATAAACACTGGGAGGATCGATCTCCATATATTATATATACCGGCTCTTATTATTAGGTAGCAAAACGTGTATATAAAATGCCACCGACCAGCATAATCGACATGGCTGGGGTTGAGATTACAGGTACGCAATAATGATTTTACTTTTATTTCTATATCTTACGATCGTGTAAAGAGTGCGTGTCCGCGGGAAATGTACACGCTTTTGGTACGTGCGTTCGGCCGCTCTGTGATCGTGAAGATGACGGTCACCACCAGGTTGCGCCGATATTGTAACAATACAGGTAGGCAAATAGCCGACTGTTTCGTTGAACTTTGTTCTTGGACTCCTGTATCGGGATGATTGTTTTTATTTCACGAGTTACCTTCATGGTCATGTATGTAAACAACACTCACTCGATCTATAGTATACGCTTGTCAATGTCGATCTCAAAAACATCTGTCATGGTACTAGCAGACGACATAAAATAAAATGATGCAACTTTTGATTTACTCTGATTCCATCCTCATTGCTCTGATCTGATTATAAGTAATCATGGCGGTCGGTTTTCCGTGATCTTGTAGTACATTTTGCTAGCCCAATTTAGAACATATTACTCTCAATTAAAACACAGTAGCTGCGGGTCCATTCATGCTCCTTGTGTTTAGCACATGACGTGCCCTGATTTTGAAACCATGTGCTATTATTAGTTTATTTTACGGCATGTATTAAGGAATATTAAGTTTAATGCACAAATGAATTAACCATAAGTGTGAATTAAGGACTAAGTGTCAATGTGTACCTTCAACTTCAAATGTTTTCAGGGTACAATCATATAGGCAAACAAATACAATGCTTGTTACTGGGTGATAATTCCTGATAAACTGGCTTCAAAATCACTTACAATAAAAAAACTTGTTCTGGTTCCAGACTGAGTTGATCTTCAATGTTTGTGCAGGGATTAATGATGCAGTGGTCATACCAGGAAGGGGACTCTCACTCAGTTGAGATATGTCTACACCATGATCTCATTTGTCAAATGTTGTAGTATCATACTTCTCTTGTAGTTGTACATGTATTACTTTTTAGTTTTTGTTACCCATATATTTATTGCTAATAACTGATAGAAATGATCTTTTTTTTTCAAAGATGCAATAATATATTACTATTACTCCTCAACAATAGTAATCTTCCCTGACAGGATGTAGAACTGATATTTACATGAACATGGCATAGTTTTGGAAATTGACAAATGCCAATAACAATACTGAAAGTTACAAAAAGTCAGTCAACTTTTTATGATAATCAGTGTGAAATATTCTTATTATTTCTGCCAAACACGAATTCAACATACGTAGTATTCAGCTCAGGCCATGTAATGATAATTTCAAAAATAGCAACATCAATGGTAGTATCACATGTTTTTTTAGATCAGCCAGTTTTTGGATATTTACATATCAGATGATATGGATATGAAATTGAAATTGAAAGCATTCTTGTGTACCCAAAATTTGAATCTTATTACATTTGATGGGTGCTGATTTCGCTATCACTAAATGTGTTCAGGCACAAAAGTCTGCACATGTATAGTTTGATCTGGGTTTTGTAAGTAAACCAAGACGCAAAAAAATACGGGCATATGCCAACTCAGCTCTGACCATTCCCACACTGGTTTCGATACATGCTTAGATTTTAAATCTACCTCGGGTACTAATATAAAAAGTAAAGAACATATTTCTATACACTTGTAGTTGTATGTGTTAATTGATAATGCAGGAGTGTTTGTCACGATTACAGGATCTTATTAAGAACTAGTGTTACCATTCAGTGCAGTGTTATCAATCTGGTGAGCTGCCCCCATAATATTACATCAGAACAATTACATTCATTTCCCATACAATTACTTTTGTTATCATTTCAATGCATTATACTTGCTGAGCCTATTTTCACACTGTCAAGTCTGAACAGATACACCTGTTACAGTCATGGTTCTAGTTTTGTTTACTTATTTGTCCGAATTAAATGTTTTTGTGAATAATTAATCGCATTACTTAATGCTTAGGTATATCACTTGAAATACTACTGTATCTTGCCTGACCAGAAAGTCAGTATAGAGATTTCTATGTGGTTCATCTGAAGATGTAACTTTTGTTAGTCTTTAATTGATGCATGAATCATCGTGTAATGAAAATAACATTTACATCCCCATCTTTTTTTTTTACAGGGAAGACTAAACTGTTAGTGGAGGCCCTGAAAGAGCGCATTCTTGTTTTAGATGGTGGTATGGGAACAATGATTCAGAATTGTAAACTAGATGAAGAAGCATTTCGTGGGGAAGAATTCAAAGACCATTCACACAATCTCCAAGGCAATAATGATTTATTGAGCATTACACAACCAGACATTATTTACAAAATACATAAGGCAAGTGTATTGTAAAATAAAGCTTATAGAACAAAGAGTACAAAACTAGCTAAGTATGGTGTAAATGAGATTGGAACAAGTTAAAGGGCGGCAGTCGTCGTGCGGTGTCTTGTTCGATATGGGACTCATAGCGACGTATACAACGTGTGTAAAATACATTGTTTATTTACATGAAATTCGAACATGTGCTGCGCAACGACCACCACGCTTTAACTTAATTGATTCTGTGTGAATTTAAGTGTTCGTAATTAGCTTGTCACCTGACACATTGCTAGTCTGACATAACCAAAAAAGTTTTTGTGTGCTCGTCGATGGATTCAGTTGGACGTAAACTTTGTGTTCAAATGTTGCTGTTGGCAAGGGTAAATTAACTATCAGCAACTATAGACCATATCCTGATTCTAAATTATAGTGCATTATGGGATTGTTAGTTCAGATTACACAAGCATGCACGCTCTGTGATTGATAGAGTTGTGATCGATTGTGGTTTGTTTTGGACATAACAATCCCACAATGCACTATAGTTTGTAATTATGATTTGGTGTACTGTATGTCAGTCTAACAAATGGCTTGTTTTGTTCATTTTGTGACAATATCTCTGATTTTCTGTTTTTTGTGAATATTTTTTTCCACATTCATTAGTTGTTTATATGATATCATTTAGTGCACATAATACTATTCTTGAAAAAATATAGTCAACAAATTTATTGTTTTCCCATCAGGCAGGGTAAGTTTGATAATTGTAGAACTATTTTGACTAATGAGTCTCTTGGAATATTAATATTTTGCTTATTACATCAGGATTATTTTGAAGCTGGGGCTGATATTGGTGCTACAAATTCATTTAGCAGTACAAGTATAGCCCAGGCAGACTATGGTCTGGAACATATTGTAAGTTACATCACACTTTTAAAGTTTCTCAAGATATCACTATATACCGGTATTTCTGATATTTCTCACAATCCCTGTAATCTGTGTGAACAATACATTCTTTAACCAAAATGTTACTGCGAACATTATATGTGTACTGTTTTAAAACAGTTTATTTTCAATGGCATTTAATTTCACTATTTTGATATTTTCAACAATATCCCTGAATTTCAAGTTCACAAACAATGGGGAACAATGAGTTCTATTATTCAACATGTTCATGTGGATTTAATTTAGCAGATTTGACTTAATAACGAAAATAGCCAAATTAAAAACCATTCAACAGTCCAATGGATATTTCTGATAATTCTCACAATTCCTGTGATCTGTGTGAACAATGTATTTCTTTACTGGGAGCCTAGTATTTAATATTGATAATCACCAACACTGTTGATGCACACTCTGACCTATTCGATATTGGTCACTTGCAATTTAAATATTTTAGTTTTTTAAAAGAAATTCTTACCAACTTCAATTGTTTGTGAATTGCTTAGTAAAATCCTAGTAAAGATTGACTCGTTGAAACTCAGAGCAAGTTCTGGTAGGAAAGTACCGGTATGTTGAATGCTAGAAAACATCTGCAAAAAAAGATGATGTACCATGCAGCTGTAAATGTACATAGCATATGAACCACTAGATTATATTTTATGACCCGATTATGTAAATGTGCTCATATCATTCAGTTTATGGAAATAACTGAGATATCATTTTTTATACAGGCCTACAGAATGAGCAGGTGTTCAGCTGAAATACTAAGAAGATCAGCGGATGAAGTTACGGCTAAAACTGGAAAGCAGCGCTTTGTAGCAGGTGGTCTAGGACCAACAAATAGAACGTTGTCAATATCCCCATCAGTAGAAAAACCAGAGTACAGAAATATCAGTAAGTTTACTGTTAGCTGTGATAATTCACCTTTCCACAGAGCCGGACAACATGTGCCGAAAAATACTTGATCTCGGTCTTGTTGAATGCTCGGGACCGAAACTCTGCATGTGTCGAGATTTGCTGCCTGAAAGCTCGCACAAACCAAAATCATGCCCTTGATGGTATATTTAAAAGAACATGTACTGATTCATACTAGTATGACATGACGGAAGGAAGTGCAGCTAGATATGGTTGGATGCTGTAGTAAGAAGAAATGAATGAAATGAATGCAAGCCTTGTTTTCTTGCATTGCTAAATCAACATGAAAAAATAATCTAATCTTCTTGGATATAATTTCAATATAATAATTTTTATTATCATCATATGCATGTTGTTTTCCATGTTTGGGTCAAATAACAGATCTAAGAATGAGGGCATGATTTCGGCATGAGTCGAGTGGGTCCCGACTAACGTGAATGCAACTGCTGTAATCCTTATGCAAACACAGATGATTAGAAATGTTGGCATGTGCCGAGATCCCATTACGTGAACGTAGCAATGATCCAGCATACAATAAAAATAGTACTTCTATTTGGGGATGCACTTCTAATAGTGCAAATATGGTGCCTTTCATTGATTGTATGCTTCTAATAGCATAAATATGGTCCTATACCTGCAGAGCTTCTCTATATTTCATTAATAACCCATTCCATCTAATAAATCTATCCCAGTGCCATTATATATACTAAGGTAGTACATGTAGTGTCATGTCAAAGGTCAAGTGTCATGTCTTGTTATTTGTCTGTTATCAGCATTTGATGAGATGGCCGATGCATATGCCGAACAGGTCCGAGGATTTATTGATGGAGGTGTGGATATCTTGTTAGTTGAAACAATATTTGATACGTTGAATGCCAAAGCTGCCTTGTATGCCATACAGAAGCTATTTGATAAAGAATACAAACCTCTGCCTGTATTTGTAAGTTATCACCTTGATTTTTTTTTATTATTGTGACCACAGTTTTCATTTCAGCATAATAAAATTGAGTTTAATTTTCTTGTAAAAGAAGAAATATATATTTATAATTTAATTTTACCAGATTTGATATTGTAGGATTACTTGCCAAATTTCAGTGCATTTAGCAAATTACAACACAGCTAATAATTGAGCCTATACAGTATTGGCCACACCTTCTTTGCTGCAACTAACATGGTGAAGTTTCAGAAAATGAATCATATTACTGTAGAATACTTTATTTTCGCTTGGAATTAATTTTCGCTTATAGGAACGATTCAGTGAAAATAAAATCCAGCGATTAAACCATTTTTTTCTATATTTTACATTCAACTTTTCAAAAATCAGTGAAAATAAAATCCATACAAAACACCTTTCAGTCTTTTCAGTGAAAATTAATTAAAGTATTTATAGTAATCATTCAGCAATCAACCATGGAAGAATATTAATTTAATTAATGCATTTCTGGTTCTTTATAATCAAGGTGTCTGGTACAATTGTAGACAAGAGTGGAAGGACGTTGTCAGGTCAAACTACTGAAGCATTTGTTATTAGCGTATCTCACGTGAAGCCGCTAAGTGTCGGATTAAATTGTGCGTTGGGTGCTACTGAAATGAGACCTTTCATCGAAGCGATTGGAGATGCTACAACTTCCTATGTTATATGCTATCCCAATGCTGGTGAGTTATCTATATCAATGATTGTAATGGACTAACCTTTTTACATTCATTCATAATAATTGATATTTTTTTAGTGTATAGTTTTCCCACAGGATGATTGATTTTTCGTTTTTCTTATGTAAGCTTTACCTTCTAGATCAGCAAACGCATTCTATATCTGTTAGGGGAGAGTAGGAAATCAAATGGGAGGTTCACCGCGGTAATCACCGCGGCTCTACGCGGTACACCGGGGAGAGCCGCAGACTGCTTATATTTAGGGGTCTCTACCGCGGTGGCTACCGGTACTGGTTGCAACCACGGTCGTAGGAAATATGTGAAATACGTTCTTAACAGTTTCCTTTGTGATTCCAAATAGCTGTTTTTAAATCGAGTAGGTTACGAGCATTGTTGGCATGGAAATACTAAGCATATGGTAATATAATCGGCCCACATATTTTATTAATATAAAAATCCATAAGTCCAATGCTGTATACGAATTGTTGCTGCGTGAAACAATGTTGTATTTTATGCATGTATTTATCACCAATTCCAAGAGTAAAAGTCGTAACTTTCGAAGGTACAAGTATTATGACTTGTCCATACATTTCACTTATGTTTGTTACACTTGAATGAAGTCTACTACATGAGAAGACTGTTATTTATGAAGTTTTAAATAGCTGAGCTTTCCTGATTCGAGCCTCTTGTTGATTTGACAACGGTGGGTATCATTAATGTTTATTCTTTGCCAGTATCGCTTCCAGACAAAAAAATCAAGATCGATAAACAAGAAATGGACGAACTAAAATGTCTTCTGTGTTTCACGTGCGACACGATTATTAAAATAAAAACAGAGTTAAGCGATCATGTACGTTCTATAAATCTAACCTTGCACACATAATCTTGTATTGATGTGTTTTTTGGGGGGTCAAAAACGACGTTGCCTTTCAATTAACTCTTTGCGTTCATGGTATTTGTGAGAGTTTATCGATTTTTTGAACAAATGTTAAGTAACTGTATCGTTTTGCGTCAAACTGGGTGGCCCGAATTTAAATGTCAGTGCGTGAACTTATTGAGGTCATTGTTCATTGCTGCACGAAATTCAAACACGTGGGGGTTATTAAAGTTCAGTCGAAATGTACGTGAATAATGCGATCGAAGTGCGCTGTGAATTTATTATAGAAAAAGTTAACATTACGCATGATATTGTATGTTATTGTATGGTTAATATTACATATTCACTTTAATAGCCCGGGTTAGTGTCACAACAATAATAAAAATAACTTAGTTTGCGTAATTATTATAAAAGCAATACATTGCAAAGTTGAAATATTTAGAGCCCGTGCAATACTGTAAACATATTTGCGTTATTAGAAAAGCAGCACACTAAGTAAATGATGTTGAAATATTCAAAGCCAATACAGAGTTGGATACAAGTTGTGTTATTACAGTACCGCCGGATATAATAACAATTTTACGACGCGCGGACCAAGAAAGAAAAGGGTTGCTAAGGTAACGTGCCAGTTCAGTGCGTGACTTGGGGTCAAACTTCAGTCATCACACACTTGATGTCAGCATCGCCGCGTAGGAAGTTTCGCAACGTACTTGAAGTTCAATTGTGCCCCAAAATGATGTCGACGATCACTCAATTGTCGCAGCGCATGTTGTACCAAGTCCATGATACACCCTGTTTCGACTTTGGCTTGCTTTTCCTTCTTAGTGCATGTATTAAAACACTTTGAATTTATACTTATGCGTGATTATATTTGGTCTACATTAATCTTTCTAAACATTTTCTGAGACCATGCATGATATATATTCACAAAATAATGCGATCATATTTTACATTATGTTGATCTCTACGTCTTTCTGGATAGTTTTGTGATTTTATTCCAAGGCTCAGGCAAATAAAATAATGTCAACTATTATAGACTAGTTTCCTAGCTTTTGGCTCAGCTAAATTGGTTTAATTGTTCATTAGAACTTTGTGATCCTTTTAATTTCCCAGTTCTTTGTGTTCATTAATGGTCTTGACAATAAGTGTGAATTGCTGTGCGAGCCCACCGCGGACGACCGCGGTCTGCCGGCGTCAAGGAATCTATGCATAAATTTGCATAAAATGCGGTCGACCGGCGAGCACCCACCACCGCCGCGGTAATGACCGCGGTGCACCGCCCGTTTAATTTCCTACTCTCCCCTTAATCATAGTATTAATAAATACACCAATGAGTGTGGGTTTCACACACCACTTTGCAAGCCCTTGGTTAGGTTCAACAAAGCACTTGATGATTGTCATTCTCTGTTACTCACACAGGTTTACCAAATACTTTCGGTGGTTACGATGAGACGCCTGAAGTAACGGCTTCGCATTTAAAGGCGTTTGCCAAAGATGGTTTAGTTAATATTGTGGGTGGTTGCTGTGGGACTACGCCAGCTCATATCAAGGCCATCGCTGAAGCTGTGAAGTCTTACAAACCTAGGGTGCCTCCAAAACAATACCTAGAAGATCATTTATTGCTGTCAGGTAAATAATGAAAGGTTGATCACATGACCATATTGATAGGTCTAAATGTCAGAAAAGTAACACTCGTGTTTATTTAGTACTGCGTAATACAATATAAAACTCATCCAAGTCTTTTTCAGCATAACAACATTAGACTTGCTGTACATATGTTGACAGATGTATAATAGTACCTGATAATATTGCATATTTGTATTGTTGTCTTTTTCAGGGCTTGAATCTGCTAAAGTCGGACCACAGTCATTGTTTGTTAACATTGGCGAGCGTTGTAATGTAGCTGGATCTAAAAGGTTTGCCAGGTTGATCAAAGACGGCAAGTTTGAAGTATGTATCTCTCTTGCTTAGTTGTTGTATGTCGCTGTATTTCTCTGTGTTAAACGTTTTTTATAATAGTCCAATAATAAACATTTTTCTCAAGGTTATCACTATTTAAAAAGTATTCTCAAGAAAATGCAGTTTATGGCATTTTGTGTTTTACTGCTATAAATGTTTGTAGTTTGATGATTTAATAATAATGACAGGAAATTCAAGTGAAATCCACCAAATGTCCTAAAAACCCAGGAATATTGTTACTGCTAAAAATGTTGCAATTTTCAGACTGGCAAATTTTACAAAATATTTTTTGTTATGCAAATTCAAACTAATACTATTTTTTTTTTTTTTTAAGGATGCATTATCGGTTGCAAAGTTACAAGTTGAAATGGGTGCTCAGATTCTTGATATAAATATGGATGAGGGAATGCTTGACGGTGAAAAGTGCATGACTAAGTTTGTTAATTTGATTGCGTCAGAACCAGAAATATCAAAGGTAAGAATGGTATAGGTTGGTAATATGTGTGACTTTTTAGACAGGGGAGAAATGAGATACAAATGTATTAAAAGTGCTGTTTTCTCAAAGAAATGTTGAGAGATTATATTAGGCCAAAAAAAAATTGTTTTGTTGCGCTCAGCGGCCGACCGGAAAAGATGAAATATCGGGTCGCGTTTTTTTTGTTTTTTTTTAATAGGCTCAAATATTAAAAACTCACCATTTTAAGCAGTAAATTTGTGTTTCCTCTAAAAATTAACGATCCCGGACCATTGTTTGGTCCTCAGGATCCCCCGGGGAATAAGTGGCGACTTTAAACCTAGGGTTGATCTGTATTTAAATACAAAATACTGTGTTTAATATCTAGCATGCGTTTGATTGATTCCCATAATCTCGGCTATTTACGATACCCTTAGTTTTCACGAGTTTAAAAAAAAATCTTACCGACCGACCCAATTTTTTTTTTTTTTGTTTGGCCTTAAGTTAATAATGTGATGAACAACAGTTGTCCAATACCATATATGCTATATTAGTAGCACATGCACTTTAATGTAAAATACTTTATTTTTGCTAGAATTTATTTTTTGCTGGAGAAAGGATTTTTCTTCCCCAAAATATGTCCACATGAACCCAAACGAATTGTCAAATCATTCAAATTCCTAGCAGTGAACATCTTACATGTACAGTATTATAAAATTGAGTAAATACCATGCTGATTTGCAACCACCCTAGAAAAAATCTTATTGTCCATCAAAAAATGGTAATTTTCTTTTATTATTAGCCCATATATTAAGGCAACAATGATCAAAACTGGGTACCCTATCAACTAAAATATTTAAGCTCGAAAGAATTGCTATTGGAAAAGGATTTAATACGTTCACTGAAATATCCCACTATGATTTTGTTTTAGGTTCCCCTATGCATTGATTCTTCCAAGTTTCATGTCATTGAGGCCGGGCTGAAATGTACACAGGGCAAGTGTATTGTGAATAGTATCAGCCTCAAAGAGGGTGAAGATGACTTCATAGAAAAGGCTATGGTTGTTAAAAAACATGGTGCTGCTGTTGTTGTCATGGCGTTTGATGAACAGGGACAGGTGAGTAACTTGTATAGGTGGTCTGTGGTCTCTCGCAAATGTGGGTCTGTTTCCCGTAATACACTTTAATATAACTGCATATTGCAGTGTATATTGTGTCCTTGAGGCTGAGAATCGCTAACACAGATGCTTAAAGCCCACAATCCTAGAGCATATGTTACAGGATACGTTCTTGTGATTTGGCACCAGCTGTTACGCTGCTTGTGTACAAATTGTACAAGTGTAATAACATGTGCAGTCAACGATTGATAAATAATCGTAAACATTAATGAATAAATATCTTTCATTATGCATGGCTGATTTGTAATGCTGACTACTACAAGTTGGCTCCACTGGCAATGGAACAATGCAGAGATTTTCTATTGCCATTTGATTTACTTGTCATGCTAATTTCAATCACTAAACATTTTCAATTTGAGACAAGTGAACGTTGACAATATTTTTAGTCCCTTGTAGAAGTTCAGTTTAAAATTTACAATACTAGCATCCATCAACCGATGTTTTGCCAAGTCTTATTAATTAAGACTCCCTATGTTTAATGCTCTTCAATTGTGTGCCAATATGTAGAATATTTGCCTTTCAAAACTACCAAAATATTAGTTTTTCAAAGCGAGTAAAATTTAGCCATATTAAGGGTTTTTTTTCTTCATTTAATCAATTTGTCCTCTCATAAAATAATTGATTTTATTCCAGGCCGTGGACGTTGACAGAAAAGTTGAGATTTGTACAAGATCATATGATGTTCTTGTGAATAAAGTTGGTTTTAATCCCAATGATATTATATTTGATCCGAATATATTAACCATTGGTACAGGTATCGAAGAACACAACGTATATGCTATTAATTTTTTAGAAACTATCAAAGTGATTAAGGTGAGAATTAAATTGTGTTTTAGGATCAACATTGCATGAATTAACAGAATCTTGATTTATCAAAAGTGTGAGAATGTACTTTATTCTAAATTGCAGTATAACTACATCTTGATTTAGCTATATGCTAAAATAACATGCAAGAATGTTTTACATTATTTTGGGGCTGAATTTTAATTGCCATTTATCGAATTATTTGACAACAAATAGAAAGTCACATTTTTGTCTCCCCTTAATAGCAAACTCTACCTGGAGCGAGAATCAGCGGTGGTCTGTCCAACTTATCATTTGCATTCCGAGGTATGGATGCCTTGAGAGAGGCGATGCACAGTGTCTTCTTATACCATGCTATAAAGGTGAGCAACCACTGTTCCTCTAAACACTTCATCTTCTGAAAGTCTTCACGAATACACGTAGCAAAAATCAATGGATGAAAAATTAGGACATGTGTTAATATGGTTTGCAAATGTATAGAACAAGTGGCTTGAAGATCAGGTTAAATGTACACAATTTTGATAAAAACAACATTCATAAGGTGTTTTATATTCCATCAAATTTTGAATTTACATCCATGTAACAAATTACTGAGTAGTTTTGGTGCAATAATTTTCAGTAACTTTTCAAATCCTAAATATTTTGATATTTGTTTTGCAGGCTGGTATGGACATGGGTATTGTCAATGCTGGTAACCTTCCTGTCTACGATGATATTGAACCTAGTTTATTGAAATTGTGTGAAGACTTGATATGGAATAAAGATCCAGATGCAACAGAGAAATTATTAGAATATGCTCAGGTTTGTATTTTGATTTTTAGTCCCCGCTCGGAGTCATATTTCAGAGTTCGTTGGACCGATTCCGTTCATTCTTTGCATGTGCCTAGTACCTTATGTTTTCATTCAAACTTGGTACATAGATTATTCATGTTAGGATACATGCCCAGGACAATTTCTTTCGCAATTTGATAAAAGATGGCCGACTTGCAGGCATCTTGTTTTTTTTTTAAATGTGGACATGCTTTGTCAGTTTGACATTGCTATTAAGTCTTACCTGGATTCCTCTCATTCCCAAAAAAATATTGTCAAATTAACCAAAATATTTTTTGAGATTAACAAAAACCAGAAGTTGATTTAGTAGTTGTCTCATTCCAAATGTTGAGTTGATTGTCGTCAAGTCTCATTCCTGAATATAAGCCAGAAAACATAAGTGTGCTATAGTGAAATCTCTACATCTACTTTTTATTCACACTGTTCTTATGTTTGTTTCTTTTCCAGTCAATGAAGAAAGGTACAAAGAAGATTGTGGACATGGATAAATGGAGAGAAGAGGATGTTGAATCGAGATTAGAACATGCTCTCATCAAGGTGATTGTGTCAGTTTATGTGTTTGAAAAAGTATTTAAGCATAATTTGCAGACTTACAATCTCACTCACTTACAAAATACAGGTATCCTCGGGGGCGGACATCCGGGCATTTTCACCGCCTGGCAACCCGCGGCGGTGAAAACAAAGGCCCAAAACTCACAGAAAACGGTACTTTGGGATGATTGTTGAGACTCCCCTGAACAGTGTAACAAGATTAGCCCTACGTGTGTAACATATATAAATTTGGTTGTTCGGGATTACTTCAAAGTTGAGTTTGTGTTGTTTTCTCGAATTTTCACCGGCTCGACTGGCGTTCCACAGCAGCGTGCACAGAGCCCATAGAAATGCATGGTACAATGGTGCGCGTCTTAGCAACGTGGAACGTCTGTGACGTAGCTCCGCCCCCGAGGATAACAACAACTCCTCTCCAGATCTATGCTTTTAATTTCTTCTTCCAAAACATTAATGAATATAAAACCTTTTACAAACTCTGAAGACACCAATCTGCTGATTATGTTAGAAATTATCTTTCAAGTCTTAGTTTTAACATGAACTTTCTGTGCATCTCCAGGGAATTGATAAGTACGTTATCGAGGATACGGAAGAAGCCCGCCAAAATAATATACGATATCCTAGACCGTTGAACGTCATTGAGGGGCCATTAATGAAGGTAATTTACATAAAATGTTCTTGTAGTTTTTTCTTTGGTAAATAATATTGAACTTGCAATGTGTTTAAATACAAATTGAACATGAGACAAATCGTTGCCTTGACTACGTGTAATTCTGTCTACTTCATTGCAGGGTATGAGTATAGTTGGTGATTTGTTCGGGGCAGGCAAAATGTTTTTGCCGCAAGTTATTAAGTCAGCAAGAGTTATGAAGAAATCAGTCGGCCATCTTATACCATATATGGAGAAAGAGAAGGAAGAAATGCTGGCAACAATGCAGATAGACGATCCTAGCGCTGTTCTGGTAAATACTGTTTTAATTTCGAGTGAAAATTTTGAAATTGTGTAGCAGTGAAAATTTGGTTCTGAAGACAATGTATTGTAAATAAAATCACAAAGATTGCTTGCCATGGAAATTAAACTGTTTGGTCAGATTTTCATAATCACCTTTATTAAAAATGCTTTTCTAATAGGGCAAATATGGTATAAGTTTACTTTAAAGGTGGTGGTCATCGTGCCACACATATGTGGTATTTGTATTCTATATAAACAAAAAATGGTAATTATTGCGCAGATCAAATTGCACAGAAAATGATACACTACCAAAGTTAAAACTCTTTGAGAGCCAAATTCAATTTCAGGCACCATTCAGAAAATAGTTCCATTTAAAGTCTGCTCTATTCCACATAAAATGTTGTGAAAATTTCAAATATTTCGATCAAAAGCTAGAAGTAATGTAGTATTTTATCTGTTTGGTTCAAAATTAAGATTGAAATTGGTGAAAATTCCAGAATGATGAACAAGTTTTTAGCAAAAATAAAAATTGGCACTGAAAGGGTAATTCCTGGCTGGTATGATTAGAACATGCATACCATGACACTTTGAAGTCATATTTTTTTATTCATAATATACTTGTTAGAAAATATGAGCAAAACGACGTGTTTAGCCGATTTGTGCATCTAATAGGTATGATATGCGACAACGTATTTCTAACATCTTCCCTACTATTGTTTTTTACAGGATCACTACGTAGGGACTGTGGTTATTGCTACTGTTAAGGGAGACGTGCACGATATTGGTAAAAATATTGTAGCCGTTGTGTTGGGATGTAATAATTTTAGAATTATTGATTTGGGTGTTATGACACCATGTCAGAAAATAATACAAACGGCCATTGAACAGAAAGCAGGTGAGATTATTTGACTAATAAGGAATTGTAGAAAAATTCATAAAATGTGCAAAATGTTACAGCAAAAAAAGAATTTAATGTGTTAAAAAGCATTTAAAACTAAATATGTAGACAAGTTGGTGAGGCATGACATATAAAAAAATCACATTTGGATACAACAAACCGTTAAATAAACCACTAAATCTATGATTTTCAGATATTATTGGATTATCTGGACTGATCACGCCCTCGCTAGATGAAATGATTCACGTTGCCAAGGAGATGGAGAGACAGGGGATCAAGCTTCCTCTTTTAATAGGAGGAGCAACGACTTCCAAGACGCATACTGCAGTGAAGATAGCTCCCAGGTATACCTCGCCGGTCATACATGTTTTGGATGCCTCAAAAAGTGTGGTTGTGGTAAGAAAAAATACATTTTTTATTTATATTTTTCCTTTTGATCACTAGTTTCCTCTTTTTATCACAAATTCACAAAATAGTCTGTTTATAGTCTTGCACTTTCCTTCAGAAGAATAGGACAAAAATAGCCAAATTCTTTTGAGTTAAAACTCTACTCAAATTCTGCCTGTTGGCACCAAAATTTACAGTTGATTTCCAGAAATATTGAAGAATATGAGAAAAAAAGTGCAGACAAATTTGGGCGAGAAAGTCTGGTGGTGAAAAGGTTAATGAGTGATTTCTTCTGTTGGCATCACTTATATAAGTTGTACCTGTTGGCATCACTTATATAAGTTGTACTGTTGCATTCTCTGTTGTACAAGGAATAAATAATAAGTACCGGTATTGTTAAAGTTGCATTATCCTCTAAATTATTTGAATTTTTGTCATATATGTAGTAAAATGATCCTTGACTCGAAATGAGTTATGCGTACAAATCTTTTAGATGCAATCTTAAATTATTACTGGGTACGTGCATAATTTGGAAAATCAAATCTCATTCATAGTATACCCGGTACCAAGTTTTCATTTCATGCATCTTTTTACTTTCAACAGTGTTCATCGTTACTGGATAAAACGCAATATGATGAATTTACTGAAGAAATAGCTGAAGAATATGAAGAAACAAGAGAAGAACATTATAATTCACTTCAAGTAGGATAAATTGATAGATCATAAAGCACATTATTTGCTGAATTTCGATATTTATTATTTTGTTACCAATCTTGTTGCATTTATGCATTTATTAATATTCTTTTCTAGGAGAGAAGTTTTGTCACTATTAGTAAAGCCAGAGAACTGAAATTCCAGATTGATTGGCAGTCAATGCCTAGTCCAGGTATGTATGATTTTTACCTTGCCCGTAACATCAAAGATAGAAGGGAAATGTATATTAAAGGAAAAATGTCTGTCTGGCGGCGTTGTCGTTGTTGTTGTCGTCGTCATCTTTAATAGTTGTTATTGTGTGCACAATAACTTTACTAATTCTAATCCAAACTTTATCACACTTGGTCACCTTATTCATCAGTATAAAGTCTTCCCTGAGTATGAATGACAGATGTCCTGTATGAAAATATCATGCAAAAATTAAGAAAATCTGTTAAAATATTTTGACTGATCACTGGTGATGCACATTCTAAGGTCACTGTTCTCAGTGGAAATATGCATTGTTGTCTGTTCAATGAAGCAAATCATTTATCTTGTAATAATATCTTTGGTAATGTATCTCCCATATCCCATGGGAATACTATACTGGGTTTCAAAACCAACTCATGGGGAGTTTTTGCACAGTCTGATACACATTTGCAAACCAAAAATCTTTACAGAAAACAAGTTGTGAGAAAATCAATATAAGCACTCTTATGAATTGGGTGCCAAACTTTGATCAAGATCTGAAGCTAATAGAAAATCTGTTTAGTCCAAAGTTATCAAATCAAAAACAATACATAAAAAAATACATAAAAAGCAAAACGTTGCATCCACATTTTGAAAAGAAAATTGTACTCAAAAATAGGTATTCTGTATTTGACAAACAGTTCATTTGACAAATGAAAATTCACAGGAATTTGTTTCAGCTACTGTGGAATACTATATTTTCGCTTGGAATTAATTTTCGCTATTTTCGCTGAAGGAATGATTCAGTGAAAATAAAATCCAGCTAAAATAAAGTATTTTACAGTATTAGAACAGAATGATAGAGCTTTTATAATAGTAATTTAAAAACGCACTTTAAAAACAAAGATTGCAGTGTTTGAAGATGTAGATTCTCTGGAGGCAAAAGTACTGTTGACTTCCTCCTCCACTGGTCACCACCTAACTATTTAAGTTGATTTGCATACAAAGCAGAGCTTGCATCAATATAGCTATTTATAGAGGGCATTTTTTTTTTTTTACTTTTCAAATAATACAGTAGTCACACAATGAATATAATAAGGCAGTTCATATTTGTCCCAGTGAATCATTAATTTTTAACAGACACCTGTACAAAATACTTGGACAAACGCCAGCTAAGATTTTCTGTTATCTTGCATGATTTATGAATCTATTCACGTCTAAATGCAGCACTTTTTTTATGAGATGCGGCATTTGTTTTTATAATAACAAATCTGAATTACTTTGAATAAAGCTCGAAATTATGTCCCTTAAAATAATTAAACAAATTAGGCACCAATGTTTTTGTAATATATTTACATCTATCACAGACATTCGGTAAACTGCTTTCCCAATGTTGTTTCAACCCCAAAACTTGTTTGTATTCAAAATTAATTATGACAATGCATATTCATATTGAAACAAACTATGATAAAGGGAATAATATTTATATATAACAAAGGGCAAGGTCAGCAGAGTTCAACTATGTTGATTTCTCTTTCAGTGATTTCTATTTTAGCTGTGTAGTTGAAATTAACTGCATGTACCAGTGACATTTAATAACATAATACAGAAATCATAAAATATTTTGTGTTGTGAGAAACAAAGAAAATCAGAAATGTCCATTTATTTAACCATTCCATGACTTTTTTAGAGCACTGCTGTATCTGCTCTATAAAAAAATGAAACTTGTTTCAGTTGATCTAGAATACAATAAATGTAATTTTTGGTTATATGTGCTCCTGATAGAGAAAATATGGTAATTATTTTGGGTAATGATTTTTGGCATAACAGGTTTCATTATCTTTTAATATACCGATATTCATCAATCCTGGTGTTCACTGTAATACATTATGTTTATTGTTTAGTAACGCCAAGTTTCCTTGGACTGAAGACGCTTGACAACTATGACCTGTCATTACTTGTGCCGTACATTGACTGGAAACCGTTCTTTGATGTTTGGCAGTTGCGTGGTAAATATCCCAACAGAGGGTATCCCAAAATATTCAACGACAAACAAGTTGGTAAGTAATGAAAATTTTCTTCTGAATGGCTAATAATCATCATCATAAATCATACATGAATTATTGAAAGCTTCTTATTACATCATGGTTCTTTGTAGCGACCATCCATGGTCTTTATGACAAGTGTTCAAACACAGGTTGGACGGTACTGGAGAACATTGTATCATTGTTCCTGGTAAAGATATGTTTGTGCTAATACCAAAGACACTTTTCATGATCCTGACTACATGTTGTCATGCAAAGTTTCTACAACATAATCTAAATAATAGTGTAAAATCTTTAAATTGTTGAAATCGGCTACCCGAGATTGCCTTGACACCGTAACTCTCAACTGCCAGTTTACATATTGATTATATATTCTTTATTCTTACTATCGCATATTTCACATTTGTTATTTTGTATCATTTCATAGGAGAGGAAGCGAAGCGGTTATTTAACGATGCACAGGATATGTTAAATAAGATTATAGACAATAAACTCATAAAAGCCAGTGGTGTGTGCGGATTCTGGCCTGCGTGTAGCGTGGGTGACGATATCCTCGTTTATAAAGAAGATGTCATGCCACGATGCGGTGAACCAGTGTCTGTATTCTATGGACTACGACAACAAGCTGAAAAGGAATCCAACGACCCGTATGTCTGTCTTTCTGACTTTGTGGCACCTAAGGATTCAAATGTACGGGACTATATCGGAGGTTTCGCAGTATCTGCAGGATTTGGAGTTTCTGAACTTGCGAATAAGTATGAACAGGAGCATGATGATTACAATAGTATTATGGTTAAAGCATTGGCTGATAGGTTAGCAGAGGTATGTTTTATCGGCCGTTTATGTATAAATGATATATTTGTGTACATGCACCTGTGCCTGTAATTATGATTGTACTCTAGGTTTTTTTTCCAAAAAGATGTAGTCGTTTCTGATCAGTTTAAGATGTATAGGTGGAGAAATAATCTACCTAATTTTAAATTAGAATGCAAGGTCAGGGATATTTTGAAACTGCTTAATTGTCAAAGAATACACATGTGGGGCCATTTCTCAGAAATGTACAGGTAGGTTTCAATCATGCTTAGTTGCACATGCAAAGCATAGACTTATTTGGGACTATTTCATTAACATTTGATGGTTTGAATTTGCACGAATTGAGGTAAATATTTCATAAATGTTCAAATATCAATGAGCTTCAGCACGTCCAAGTGCTGACAGTCATTTCTGATTCCAATTCGATGATGTGAGTTTCCTTTGCTAACACGATTTGAATAGTGTTTTCAATAGATTCGTTTCTGTTCTGATTTATTGTGGGCCAGACTGATTTGAAACAAGGCAAAAACGTTCAGTGAATTGTGCTTTTTTTCTCCCACAATGCAATTCAGAACAATCATGTACATGTGAGTCACAAAGTACGTCACAAGACAAAACCCTCTATAAACTTTAACACGCAAGGTTACAATTTTTTGACTCCCGTGTGCGAAGCACAAAAGGGAGTCTTTGCAGTTACCCTGTCTGTATGTCTGTATGTCTGTATGTTTGTATGTCACTTTTTTTGTTCCACCGTTATCTCAAGAACCACTAATCAAATTTTTATGAAACTA